ACTAGAACAGAGTCGGGTGGGGAACATACCGGTTGGAATGAAATATATGGCTTCCTAAACAGAGCATGAGAATAGGTACGTCCCGTCCAAGTAATAATAGTTGGTGCGCGTACAATTCCAGGAAGGACGAAATATTCTCGTGTTATAACTCCGACAATAACCATAATATAAAACTAAACTCTTTCCCTAATCTTGATCCTATGCCTACCTTAAACCTTAACTCTGCATTTAACACTGGCCCCTATCTTAACACTAAACTTGATCCTGACTCAACTCACCGTTGACATTAAAGCTAGCCTTATGTCTAGTCCTTAACAAAAGAACCACAACTTTAAACATTATCCTACTGTCACTAAAGACTGACTCAAAGTTGCCCATATTGCAGGTGGATGCTGTTTTCCTATCCTGTTGATCAAGCCACATAGGTCAGTCCTACCAGCAATTCAAACTTCGCTGAACGTTTCCAACGGCCACTTGGCGAGAACCGGCTCCCTATTACGCATGTGGTCCAATTATGTAGATCATTTCAAGGCCGACGGCCATGGCGCGTGCGCACCGTGGTGTCACACACATTCGAGACTGGTCACTTCATCGGACCAATGGGGTGGTTAAGTAGCGGGAACTTGACGCGCGTCGGTGACGGACAAACAATCCAAACTTGACGGTTCGTCACGCCCAACGGACTGGGCTGGATTGTTTGGGTGCAGTGGCGCGAACCCCGGATGGAGATGGTGTGAACGCATGTCGACGAAAATGACTGCTGTCCCTTCCCAACTCAACTGCCAACTCCCCGCAACTTCTGTCGTAACGCTCGGCTAGTTCATTCTATGTCGGCGCCTTCCGCGATCACCCCATCTCCACAGCGCCGCATTCCCCAAAGATTGTCTGGCAGGCATTTAGGTTTCACCTCTTCATTCAAAGAGGCCACTGTCTTGTTGTAACTCTTCCTTTCTTGTACTGTTAAATATTGCTCTGCGTCCTATATTTGCTTTCGCTCCTGGTACATATATATGTATACGAAGCTAAAAATTTCAAAACTTATTCTGTTCAGGACATGGGGTCAAGTAGCTGGGACATGACATTTTAGGGTCACACTTGAAATTTCAATGAACACTGGAGTTGAAGACAATCAGGTACTGCGGAATAACCATGTAATGTCCATCCATAAACGAGTAGTATTACAAGGAGTTTCAATTGTATATACCTGAAGTATTATACCGTACTCCTGACATAGGTACCAGCTAGAAGCCCATACACGTGTTTCGTCTATTTTCTGGGACTTCATGACAGAGCTGAAAGGGGTTCGGGCCCTCCATGGATCAACCAGCGTTCCATATGCGATTTCTGACATATGGATTTCAGAGAATAATCTGGCGACTAATTTCAGAAATTACAAAAAGCAGTGCAAAGAGGCACGCAGAGGCAGAATATATATTTACAGTAGGTGGGCTAACTCACGAAATCTCGGTCGGAGTTTCGAAATGCGTTCTCTTGTCGAAGAGATTAGTTAGTAAAACTAATCATCATGCAGCATAATTCTACAATCACCGGTTACCTAAGGGAGCCGGTTTTAGAAAGAACTTATTTCGGACTGCATGCAAGAATTACCCTCTGCAAAAAAATGACTGCTTAAGTAGCATGCAATTTTCCCATTGATGTTCGATGTCATTAAAATTCAATTATATGCCATGGAAAACATTAATAAAAATTTTCATTTTTCACATAAAATAAAAATATTTCAGTCACCGCAGAATGCCGGCTTTCGAGTGAACTTCCTTCCGGCTGCCTGTAAAACAACACTGCAAAAAATGGCTACTTAATTAGCATGAATTTTTCTCATTGATGTTTGATGCCCATAAAGGTCCAATTATATTTCATGGAAAACATGCATAAAAATATTTATTCTTTCGCTCACTTGGTGGAAAATTACGTCTTCTTCTAATCTCATACTCGAAGGAAAGGTATAATTGGGTTTGCCGAAACTTTTACAATTCCCGAATAAGTTTGAACCCACTCAAACGTCACACTTGGATTCAGGGTTTTCAAACTACAAGCCGTATATTGTTCGCGTACGGCAAACCACTCATTTCTCTACGCTATTAAGAGAAGACTATATGGGGTTCATAAAATTAAGCATTGGATTTAATCTATATTGTTAACTTTACAAGCCACATTGGTAAATGCAGGTACATGACGTTTTATGAACACCCATTTCACGGTATTAGAAAATCTCACAATTAGAAACGTTTTGAAACCGAATTATTTCTATCCTTGGGGTACAAAATTAGAAAAAGACATGATTTTCTACCGACTGAGTAAAAGAAGGAATATTTGCATGCATGTTTTCCATGAACTATAATTGAAAATTTTGGAGCATCGAAAATCAATAAGAAAAATGCATGCTACATAAATAGTCGTTTTTTGCAGAGTGTAGATTTTGCATTCAGCCGGAGGGAAGTTCATTCGAAAGCCGACATCATGAGATAACTGAAATATTATAGAGTTATGTTGCAGGCTAATCAGTTTTACAACCCTGTTTAACTAATCTTTTTGACACGAGAACGCATTCCGAAACTTCGGCCGATGTTTCATGAATTAGCCCACCTACTGTATGTACAGTAGATGTGCTAAGTCATGGAATGTCAACCAAAATTTCGAAATGCGTTCTCGTTTCGAAAAGATAAAGTAAGTAGTGTTGTAAAACTAATCATGACGCAGAATAAATCTATAATGATCCAGTTACCTCAGGGTTTCAGCTTTCGAAAGAACTTATTTTCTGCTGCACGCAAGATCCACATTCTGAAAAAAATGACTACGTATGTAGTATGCAATGTTCTCATTGATTTTCGATGCCCTTGAAAATTCAATTATATTTCATGACAACCATGCATAAAAATATCCATTCTTTTACTTATTCGGTAGAAAATCACGTCTTCCTCCAATTTCATACTTAAAAGAAGAGTTTTAAAAAAGTATCTAATTGTGAGATCTTTTAATACCGTTAAATGGCCGTTCACGAAACGTCATGTATCTGCATTTGCGAATGTGGCTTGTAAAGTAAACAATATTGCTCAAATCCACTGCTTAATTTTGTGAACCTCATATGGTCTCCTCTTAGCACCGTAGAGAAATGTCTGGTTTTCCGTACACGGAAAATATACAGCTTGTAGTTTTGAAATCCTGAATGCAAGTGCAACAGCAGGTCGGGTTCAAAATTATTCGGGAATTAGAAAAGTTCTTAAAACCGAATTATACTCTTCTTTTGAGTATGAAATTGGAAGAAGACGTGATTTTCTACCGAATAAATAAAAGAAAGCATATTTTTATGCATGTTTTCCATGAAATATAATTGAATTTTCAATGACATCGAAAATCAATGAGAAAATTGCATACTAATTAAGTAGTCATTTTTTGCGGACTATAGATCTTGCATGCGGCCGAAAATAAGTTTTTTTCGAAAGCCAACACCCTGGGGTAACGGGATCATTATAGATTTATGCTGCATCATGATTAGTTTTACAACACTACTTAATTTATCTTTTCGAAACGAGAACGCATTTCGAAATTTTGGTTGACATTTCATGAGTTAGCACATCTCCTGTATGTATGTAATGGTACACGGACGCTCATTAATCGTCTTGCGGATTTCTGTCGTTTCCTTTTGTCTTGCTGTTCCCTCCCATTCAAACTAAAGAGCGGTGCTTGATACACACAGAATAGCGATACCGACAAAGACGAAGTAGTCTGGGATGGACATTGTTGACTTCTTATTCACTGCCAGCCAGACATTAACAACTTCTAGAGCTCGACATCACGACTTGTGGGTTAGAAGCTCAACCATTGAGCCGTGAGCTTGTTGTAATGTCGATTGCTGTCGGGAATACACAGTGGTAGAGGAGCGCCAACCGGGTGTGTGTTGCACACCTCGGGCTTTGGTATGGCTGTATGAAGACGGCTTATAGGCTGAACATAGCCATTCCATTCTTTCTTTTCTTTGTCGGTAACGTTATTTCGGCTATATATATATATGTTTGTTTATGTATACATATACACATATATTGAGGGAGAAGTCTCGTCGGAAAAATTTGAGTCGTAGTCACGAAATTTCGAGCTGCTGACGCCAAACCGTCGTCAGGCGAAATAAACAGAGAAGAAAGTGGAATGGCCAGACTAAATTGGCTGGCGCGATAGGACAGGAAAGCAACTAGCGTGTAGGGTAGGCGCATACATACGCTAGAATTTGGGGAGAGGGATGGAGGAACTGTTGCGGTTCCCTGTCTTGGTGTGAAAGGGAGATGGCGATTCAATAGGACTGCAGACAGTGGGATCGGTGGTCGTCGATCTGGCATGGGGGCAGTGTTGGCGGTGTTAAGAACTGCAGTTGTAATTCGCCGTGTCTGAGGGAGAGGGTGGCGAAACAGTGGGATTCTACGTGGCCCAATATGGATTGGTGGCTGTTAGGTCATGGGCGCAAGTTAGTGAGTCGGGCACGACGACGAGCCTTGTCCCTTCATCGTTTCATCTTGGAATGCATATTACTTCAGCAATTCCACATTTATGTATTTGTACTCGCTATATTCTCCTACTTTGTAGTCTGGATGAGTGCTAAAATATGTCTAACAACTCTATTCAGTTCAATCTGCGTCAGAAATCATTTGCAGTGCTTCACGTTTTTCCGCGTGTGATACCGTTAACGTCTTCAGCCGCTACATCACCGGGGCTTCTGTAACGCATTTTGCCCAAATCGGGAGGTTAGATATGCCATTTCCAAAAGTTTAGTGTGATGATGTACGCATCAGAGTTATTTGGTGTAAAGCAGGGTACTATTGGAAATTATTAGGAATTGCAGATACTCTGAGGAAAACCAAATTAGCAGAAAGAGTAATATTCTGACTTCCGCGGGTGTCCAGAACGTTAAAAGTCCACGTTGAAAGGGTACTCCGGATGACCGATCGCCCTAAAACATGCATTTATTAAATTCAACAGTGGGCCAATCAAACTTACATTGCCGCAGTGTAGACACGAATATTGTGACCGCTTGTATTAAGAATTGCCATCTCCTCTTTCTTCAGGGCAAAGTCAAAAAGCTGGAATGATTTTTTGAAAAAAATGGGACAAGTTAGGCTAATTGAAATGGAAAGTCAATGACTGGCTAAGCGCCCCTTACGTGTCGCGCGTCTAGACAGCATATCAACGGGGAAATTGACTAGTGACTAATGTCGACCCACAGCCTCTCGTAATCCATGTCAATATCGAACGTGTGAATGGAAGACACGGCGGACAAGGAGATATTCAACCCTCTGTCCGTTTCTCCCCTCCCTACCCGCTGAGAGTTTTTGGAGCAGTTTATATATGTAAATACGTACAACAGCGTTTGGTGAGGAATGGTCCTGCAGTCCCATTTGACTGATACCATATGGTTAGCTAACTAAAACAGTTTCAGATAATATACCTAACTTAGTCACTCGCTAGACTAAGAAGGGAAAGAGAGCACATGCAGAGTTCGAAACACGCGCCGGGAAGCCCCTGTGAACCGATGTTTGGTGTAACCGAAAGTGGCCTGGGCACAGTCTCCGCTACATACTCACTCGCTGGATTAAGAGGACAAGCAGGGCGCAATCACAACTGGAAGGCCACGAAGGGAACCGCATGTTAATTCTTACTGCATTGCCATTATGATGAAACCGACGGAGAAGCGAAGAGACGAGGCCCAGGAAACAGTCTTAAAGGAGGAGACACGATCGCTGGGACTTTTCGCCTGACTTTTCGGATTCCTGCTCGAACACGTATCTGCTTTTGTCCCTGATGATGGGTTCGAGCAGGAATCCGAAACGTCGGGCTAATAAAGCTCTTGTCCCAGCGATCATGTCTCCTTCTTCAGGAGTTTGACACCGTCCAAGCAGTGACATTAAAAGGCCTGCTTAGCCAGTCTTTGGATTGAGATAATATAGTGGGCGCCAGCAAAGCTCGAATCACGCGCAGGCAAGCGCGGGTGAACTATACTTGACGCAGCCCAGGTTGGCGTATAAGCACTCCCCTCCCCTTAGGTACAGTCACTCGCTGGATTATAATGTTAATGAAAGGCTCAAACACGTGATATATGTAGTTAGCCTAGTCACAACTGATAAGATTGTTTTAGTAAGCTAACCGCCTGGTAACAATCAAGTGGGGCTGCAGAACCAAACCTCGCCGAGAGTTTGAATAGCCAAAGTCATGGGTGCAACGGGCCACAGACTTCTGGCATGCCAAACATTCTAATCAAATATGCTTATTATGAATGAAGGTGGTAGTGTGCTTTGCCGGGAGGCGTACTCGAATAAAATCATCCGGAAATGGGACCATGGACCACAGATGCCACAGGTGGCCTCGCACTAAATTCCCGGGGGCACCTTTTCGCGTGCCCTTACATTAACCTTAACGCCTCCTAGGCCTAACTCTAAACCCCTCTTGGAGTTTAGGGCAATACGGGGACTCAAATTTCGCCTGCTCAACCCGAAAATGCTAACCTAATAAAGAATCCGTGGCGTACTGTCGATGAATCTTTACAATGTACTGCTGGAGGCAGGATGATCTTCCAGGCGTAATGTAACATTAAAAGATGAAGAGGCGTTCGCCGGAAGGGGTTTATTGGACGCCCGACGTTTAGAGTAGTTGATTCGTCTACCCACCTTCAGACAATGAGAAGTCATTCACACCGATTTTCGTATATGGCGCACTTTGTTCAATGCGTGACCCGCCAATACAGACTGTGCGGCTGCATCCAAACCTGAATCGTCGCCGTCGGCCGCGGAGATGACTGCCGGCCCCGATTGTCCCGCGCCGTGACTGTCCCCCGTTAAGGAGGTTTGTAAAGTCAGATGGGGGGGGGGGGGGTTGGGGCAAATTGAAGTGGCGGTTTACAGAATAGTCGATGGACATCCAGGCTTCTTGCACTTGCCTTGCTGTATGATCACCGCCCCCGCCTACAATCTCAACGGCGTCAAAGTTGAAGATGGGTCCCATTTGCGCGGCATGAGTTGCTACCTCCGACTTTGGGTCAAAAATTCGCAAAGGTGGAAACTCATTGCAGCACGCGAGCCGCCAAACTGGACGAGATGAAACTGCTCCAAGAAGTCTTAAGAGCCAACGATCATCCGCGGGTATTCATTGAACGGAGCCGAATGCAGCCAAAGAAACGAAATGAAGATCATAGTCAGTCAAACTCGTGGGGGAGCATTCCGTACATTAAAGGGGTCTCCGACGGCGTGGCTAGATCCCTCGCGACACTTAGAATAGGTTTCGCCCACAGGCCTGGCTTAAATATCCTCCGGCAAGTGATGCGGTCAAACGATCCGATCCCCAAGTAGATGTCGGCCGTCGTCTACCAAATTCACTGCTACTGCAGAAGGTGCAACTACGTTGGGGTAACCGGCCGACGGCTGCAAACGCGAATTTACGAGCAGACTTTTCCAGTCTCTGAAGGTGGGTAGACAAATCAACTACTCGAAATGTCGGACCCCCAATAAACCCCTTCCGGTGAACGTCTCTTCTTCCTATGATATGCCACCTGGGAATCGCATTTTAACTACTATTGAAGTAATGTAACATGCTAAAAGACCATAATATGACGTTTTTACAAAATCGCAAAAAAAGTAAACATTCATTGCTCACATTGAGGTCCGCTTTAATCCTCTCTTCTTTCGAGCTGTCTACAATGACCGAAAGTCCGCGTTGTATGGCATGTCGAAGGAGAATCTGGCCCGGCGTCTTCCCATGGGCAAGGGCAATTCGCTTAACCTGTTCTTCGTCCAACGGAGATGCGATATGTCTGTTCAACACCAACAGTGCAAGATATCAAAAGAAGCTTATCAAATATTTTTAAGCAAATGTTGTGCACGTGCTTTGCAATATACTATTGTGTTTTAGCGGTGGAGTAGTTCAAAGTAACTTACTTCATAATGCCCGGCGAGCCGAAGATTGCGAAGGCCGTGACCTGAATGCTTTTCGAGTGACAATAGTCAATCAGTTTTTGGTTCAGCCAATGCACGCAGACTTCAATCTGATTCACCGCTGGAGGTATTTTGCAGTTGGTCAGAATTCGATTAAGCTGGACCATATTGAAGTTGGAGACGCCGATCGACCTAACGAGGCCGGCCTTAACCAACTCTTCCATGCCCTGATCAAGAAGAGTTGCGGACGACAGAACGGTTAACAGAAAGACAAAATTAACCATGAAAAAACAATCAAGACTAAGGTTTATAACTAACATGCCGACAAGCCTAGAACCTTAACAGAGGCGTCCTAAGGCGGACGTCGAATAAGTTGATCCACTTAAGTAGATCGGCGTTCTATATAAGCGATCTGTCATTTCTCTCTGGATTCAGCAGTCCACATTTAAACCGTACTGACGTCAACCGGCGCTTCGAAAATGCAGGGATTTTACATGAAATTTACACATACATGGGGATTGTGCCCGACCGTAGGTTAACTTACCCTCCATGTTTCCTCCAGCGGTACGTCCTCAAAATCAAGCACACTCGGGTCGACTGCTGAGAACTCCTGTCCCTCCTTTACCTTGAAAGACACAGGTAATTGAACGAGATACAGATCCAGATACTCTATTTTCAGCCTGCGCAAGCTCTCCTCGCAGGCTGGACGCACCTCCTCCTGTCGATGCGAATCGCACCATAACTACCATCGGAGGTGAAGGTACAATTGCAAGCTACCTTTGATGTGATGAACATGTCCTCGCGTCTGACGGTTCCATCATCAAACTTCGTCTTGAGGGCGTATCCCACGCTAGCTTCATTTCCATAGGCGTGTGCGCAGTCGATGTGCCGATAGCCTGCCTCAATCGCCCATTGAACAGGTTCTCCCACTTCATGCGGCGTTGCCTGAAGTTGAATAAGAAGAAGGAATGCCAACCATAATGGTGCCAAAAGCGACTAGAGGCATTTTGTAACCGCTGTTGAGAGGCAGGAAGGGTTTCTGTGGATCCGTGGGGTAGGGAACGTCCACCCGGCTGTTTTGATAATCAGCAATTTTAGTGTTCGGTGTTCCCATCTCTGTAAGGTCTTGATATGCTTTTAGCGACGCAGTCGGAGTTAGTCCGCTTCCTCAAGGTAGGAAGCCAACGAACCACTGTACAGAGATGAAACGATCCTAGCTAACTGGTGTGCAGAGTTCTGTTACTCCTTGGAGTAGGGCTGATCAAATGTCCACAATACGGTTGATGGATATAGAAGCTGTTAATCCAAGACACTGCCGCGTTCCCTAACCAGATCACGGAGAAACAGAGCTGACAGCCCTTATTGGATGACAGTGTGTAGGCGGTGATCAATGTGTGCCAATAGGATGAGTGACGTAAGCTATCCTAATACACGCGGTGCCCGTATGTAGGCGCACTGAGGAGTGTGCTGAGACGAGGTGTTGGGCTTGGAAAAGCTCATCTTGAATATTTTACGTCGTGTTTGTGATACGCAGAGACGACCGCGTATGTGCTGACGCCTGTGTATAGAAAACCTGCAGGGCACTCCGGCGCCGTCCCTCCCCCTGTCTCAGAAGCCCACATAACCCCGTGTGTGTGCATTACGACAGCACGTAAGACAATGCAGCTAGATGAAGGCAGACTTCTTCATCCGTGGAGTTTATTCTCTAAGTATCCCAGTTTCTGGACTACACCCTATAAGCAGTAGCCAATGGCCTACCCGCTGAGTCCGATCAAATCAAAATGCAGCAGGTATTGGTGGGATTTGTAATATACGTGTCCTGCCAAGAGCTTCAGAGGGTTTCCATTTTGTATGTGGGGGAGGGGAAAACAAATAGAAGCCTCAGCGAAGACAACCGTGCTTATTTTGTCTATCTCGCCCGTTCGACAGATCACCCGATGTAAATATACAATTTTAGCGCTCCCAACATTAACTCCCTCTAGGAGACTACCTACCCCGTCGGGTCTTAATCATGACGTCATGATTCAAACCCATACCCTACTTAAGACCTCAGGACACCTTTCGGCAAAGAGTGAATACGTAAGTCCACTTCAAAAGTAGGACACAGAGACTCCTAAAATACGGGAGGGATGTTCATACTGGTTTTATCAGTAGGACAGGCGGACAAGCCAATAAGCGGAATCTGCAAACGGTACTGAGCGAACTCGCATTTCTGCTATTTGTTTGTTTGATTACTCTAACATAGTGCCGGAACAGAACACTCAGTTGGAAAGATGCGAATTTGGGGTATGTAAGTGGGCGGAAAACAGGTACGCTAGGGTCATTGGTTAAAGAGGCCCGGATTCGGTCATGTGATATGCGGCAGGTATGCTTGACCCTAATCTTAAACCTCTTCCTAGCCCCATTCCGAAGCCAAACCTAACTCTTAAATTTAATACCAACCTTAACCTTAGATTTAGCCATTTTCTTAAAGTAAGCTAGAAACGTGGCCCAAATGCACCTCATCTACCAAAATCAAATAACTAGACAGGTTATAACGCTATGCACATGGGTTTACATACTTTACCATTATCTACTTTACCTGCAGACTCCAAATCATTAACTTTGACAAAGGACAAAGGGAAGTCTATACTTTTCTGTCTTACTGATGACATCTTGTTACTGAACTAGTGCAGGCATCGCGCGCACATCGGTGGGAGTGAAGACTCCTGGTAGCCCAATTCAAGCATAACAGCTTGAGAAGTCAGTTGCTTGGGTGATTTCTGTGGGTCACATGGCTGGTCACCACATGAACGGACTACGTCTACTTAAAAGCATAAGTAGGCCTTTTATTTGTGCGGCTAGTAAGTATGTCTGCGCATCCCCGTGGACGACCGCATTATTCCCAGTCGCGGAATTGCCTTTTCGTATACTCACCCATCCCTCTTGTCTGAGCCCCTTAAATTGCTGTCAATTTTGCCTTGGAATTCAAACCTAGCTTCCTCTCCCAATCGGACATCATCCTCTAAATACCGCCACCTTCATACTCACCAAATGCACATTCTACGTCGCCAGTGCATCAAGCAATAAGAGACCAAGCGAGTCCTGAGTGAATTTCATTGCCATTCCCTTTAAAATCAGCCTGCCTTAATACCTAAGTTGTTTAGTGAGGAATTAGAGAACAGCGTTCACTTGTCAATTGGGTTTTGAGGGACGCTTTACTGAAAAGCATCTGCTACACTCAAGCAAGTTTCACAAAAGCAAACTTAGAGGTAGAGCTTAAATTAAGCACTCTAGAGCCCTTCTGGCCTTCCTGAGAATACTTTAAGAGGAAATTTCGAGTGTGCAAAGTCCGTAGGACTCGGAACAGCTATTGTGAGAGACCCAGGTTGAGACAAGACTGACAATCTCATCACTTTGTACGTTCTGTCGTTAAAGCCAACCGAATTTGTTTCAGGATCAGTCGGTGGTTGGTTTCTCAGGCAGCTAGCCTTGAGATCATGACTGTTTCACCAGTTTTTAGAGTTTAATACGTAAGGCCCGACACCCAGGTTAGTTCCAGCTGATGAGATGGTCACAGCGACATCCCTCTCTGTGCATATCGGGATCTTGATGTGCGTACCATAGTCCACGGCACACACGCGCGGACTGGATCGCCCGGGACCAAAGTTCTTGTCTACATTAGACCAAATCTGTAATTTAACCGACTCGCATATCGAAAGTATGCCGCAAGGCGCCTATGTTCGTGACAGATCGTCTGGAGCAATTTTTCACGCGGCTTGGATGAATACTGCTCATTCTGTCTGTGACATTCGTATCCGCAAGATTCGACCACTATTTTCTAATCACCCCGTTAGGAACTATGGAAAGCAGCGTTCCGATGTCCTAGATGGGTATGAGTCGCTGTTGGTCCTCGGATTTCATGTTCACGGTGGGAAGATGCGATCGATGCCAATTCTGTGTGCTAAGTGGACGTTAAAATTAAATAGGGGACAGAAACGCGAGTTCCTGTTACATTACTGCCCATCCGTTGGGTCCGTTCTTGGTGACACTGTTACCACAAGTCTTTAAAGACAGCCATGACGTGTTTATCTTTGAGACGAATTTCAAAGGCAAATACATCAACGAGGATGTGGATAGTTGCTATGACGAAAAGACTTTGCGGTCGGCATGGTTTGCAGTTGATTCCTCAAAATAACTTGAGTATTATCTCAAGTAAATACGTTGTGGTGGTATCATACCGTTAAGGAATGTCCTGCCGTGGCAGCTTTTCCTATTACACGTTTCCTGGGTATTCGGTAATCCATAGGGTCTTCTAATACTTTTTAGTGTGACAAAGCGTATGGGATAATGAGAACAGCTGGAAAACGCTTTCCGCCTGTCAACGGGAACCGGAAGACCAAGCTTGTTAAGTCATCGTCCACTGAAAAGTGTGCACATTACTATCCGTGAGGAACTGTTACCTAATCACCCTCAGTCGCTGTAAACGTGGAGTTCAGCGGTCAATGCAGCCGTACCTAAAGTGATGGGGTGTTTATTCGGTCTTCCAGTCCTGGGAAATCTTTTTACTTCCGCCAAATAGGTCTCCTTTTAGAAGGGAGTCACGACAAAGGTAAGAGAAACTGAAATGGCCGTCTCGGGCTTATTACCCAACGCCACAGTAGCGCTCTCATGCCCACTGCTCTGCCATCCGGGCACGGGCTCTTTGTCCTGTCGGTTGCGCTTGGGAATATTTGCTCTCCCTGGTAGCACGTTCGGCGACCAGGTTGCGAAGCATACTTAATCCCCTCGCACACTGGGGCTCAGTCACCTAGGGATCAGTATTTTATGTGCGGAGAGGTAGGTAAAAAATGAGAGAGACTAGGAAGTCCATCTCTGACTTATTAATCTTCATCAGCAGTGGAACCCGAGGTTTGCATTCGTGATATGTGACAATCCAGAAACGGCCAAATCGGTATACTACGAGTTCACAGTTAGCCAAATGACCTAGAGAATATTCAGTCATATTGGGTTTTCATAGAAATGCGCATTTCCACCACTGAACGCTAGTCACTACGGGGCTGCCTGCGTATACAGTCAACAATAAGCTCCGAGACAAAGTTAAAATGTCCTCTTCCGCCAGGCAACCAGGCTCGATCAGTGAAGGCCACTGTCACCTCATAATATACTCCCGTGCTTAACCGGCATTATGTAAGGCCGCAATGCAGCACTGAGGTTGTTGAACGGTGATCAAATGGCCCAGGTCAAACCTAGCGTGCGCAGCCTGATGGCACCAAATAGACCAGAAGTGTTTTTCCTAATGTCCTCGTAGTGGCCAAACTCCGGGCGCATGTTGCAACGTTTAACCTCTCGCGACCACTTATATGTGCGCCCCCAATTACAGTCTGATTCCCGGCCAATTCCGGCTTTCCATGCTGGCCAATCATAATCGAGGCTGATTCAATCATGACCTCACTGAAGGCGTTGTACAACTGCCGCACTATCTCACACTCGGGAGGCCGCTCTCCCAGCGTCGAACGTACCCTCGCCCGGATGTCAAATCTTTCCAATCCATTCTCCGGTTATTCTGTACAGAATACGCAGTCCTCCAAGCTGGCGTCCCAGTGTTTTCTCTTCCTGTTCGGAGCTGGGCCTGATGGTCGCTGTTTCTAGGGCCTCCCCATGCTTAAGCCGCCGCGATCTCGATGAATCCGAGGCAGTAGGACCAAACAACTGCTAGATGTGGGTGAGCTCAATCATCACAACTTTGCGCTGTCAACTTCAACCAAAATTTCCTGTGAGGGCAATAGGGAGAATTTAATTACCAGCATCCTGTTGTGAAGCGTGATGGAGGTCATCAGACAATCTCAGCCCATTGAGTCCTGGTCACGGTCCCGTTCCAGTCCAACAGAACAGTCTCTCCATCAGTGGCAGCACCCAGCATCCTTCCTTCTATCTGATATCTCACCTTTACCACTAACGGTATTTTCTCATTTAAACTAGCAAATACAGACACGACATAAGATTTTCCCTCGCAAACTATGCAAATGACTGCACTTTATGCTGACTGTATATGACTGCACTTAAAATTTCATATGTACATGGGAGTGACCGCCTGCCGCACCCTTCGCAGTCCCGCGCCGCAAGAACGCCTTTCGTAAACCAGTATGTTACTGGCAAAATGTTAGTACGATGTGCATTTAGCATTTATATTGTACGCACCGTTTCAAGTACGGTCATTATGGGCATTGCCTACTACCCTAAAATATACTATATACGAATTTGCCGTCTCTCGATGACTTAAGCCGCCGATATAGGTCTATCATAAATGGCAAGAGTCCTCAAAAATTGTCCTGCAGTGTGACTAAACACCTACTGTGTGTCGACTTTTTCTTAATCATGATCAGCAACACGTTCCACACCTTAGCCAAAGGGGACTGTGAGGTCACATGGTCGGAGACAATTTACCACTGCAAAACCCAGACCCATGCGGGTACTTCATACCATCTGTTGTAATTCCTCTCTCAGGTACGTCTCTCAGTCTAACCTGGTGGCCTAATGATTGCCCGCTCATCAGCGGCCTTTGCTATAATGGAGTTTATTATCACCTAACCCTTGCCAGGATGGCGTACGCATTCTACTCGCCTAGTACTGGCCAAAGAAAGGAAATAAGGGCTTACTGTCGCCCTATTGCAAAGCATTTCGATACAAACGTCACATTATGGTATCCGCCTGTATATATGTGCAGCTCAGTCATTCGAATCGGCCAATTGGGATTGACGAAAGAAATATAATTACACAAATGATATTCTTAGGGGTTTATCATGTAAGGCCTGCTTTTTGGAAACTGCACAAAGGCTGATGATGGACACAGTTATCCAAGTCTGACGCATGGGCACTTCTTAGAAAAATTTGCCGGCTGTTACACCCATAGAGATCCGAGGTCAGTTGGTTCAGGTGACTCGCATTACGAAGGTACTGTGTTAAGTAGAAAAAACTAGGCCGTCTGCTCTCGCTTTCGTCAGCTCATCCGGTCACCCACGCTACGTTTCGTTTCGTCTCAAGCTCAAAGTTGATTCGCTGCTCGATCTACGTCAAACTTGGCACCGGCGTTGAGAATGCTCAACTTCCATCGAGGCTGAGCCCTTCAATGATTGGCTGACGGCGGGAGATTAAGTAGGCAAAAGGGAGACTTCGCGAAGGACACCGCGAACTCGGTAAGAAGGATGTTCACGGACTTTTTCCAAGAATTGTGTTCACTATCTGACTCCGGTGCTTGAACCAACAGTCGGGAGTTGATTAGCTTTAGAGCGCGGGACGATATTCCTATACGCTGTGGAATTATGCAGGAAATGTATCCTGCAATTACTGTACTTCTTGTGAGCTCCCCAGTTTTGGTTGTGCTTTACGGTTTCGGGGTCTAATTGAAAAATGGTTTGTCTGGGAGTAAGTTATTGCGCTAATTCAAGTTGCAGCTTTAAATGACCGGCTCTAGAAGAGCGTAA